AAAACTTTATAAGCCAAATGCAGAGTTATAAACTACCAATGCACTTGTGAAAATCGGTAGAGTAAAAATTTCACAAAACCACAAATTTGACAATCTGACTATCTGACTGACTAACGTTACTGGAAAGACATAGCTCTCTCCTGTCTTCACATTATGCAAAGTTAAATGCACTTGATTGAATTACGCTAACTTAGCTAAAAGCGTTTTTCTCAGTTTTACTTATAGCCTTGGTAATAACAAGTATTAAAAATAACCATTTTGCAACACTACTAATGAGCTAACAATACACTAGTAGCCAAATTCTATTACTAGGAGCATTCCCTGTGAGTTACCAAGTAACAACTCGTCCTCATATCACGCGCTACGTGATCAGCATGCAGCTGTATCAGCTAGATAAAAAAATGTGGACTACGTAGATTCTCTTCAATCAAGGTTTAAATATGATCTAACCTTTTGAAAGTGGAGTTTTCAGTTCCATACATCTACTCAAAGGTTCTGTGTTGGACAAAGCAATTCTATCATAGCAGTCAGAGCCTAAGACGCGAGTCTTCTACATGAGGACGAACGCTATCTCTGCCAAAGTCTGACACAGCTTTGCTCGAGCACTCTGGACTGAAAACAAGAATGATAAGTTGTATAATTTAAATTTGCATTGTTTTCAAACTAAGTGTGACCTATAGACAACTAAATTTGTACTTGAAGCATTGCGATTTCTAAAATGTCTTTCAAGGAAACGAAAGGAGAAAAAAGGAGAAAATCTTATGTTGATAATCTTGAAAAGTCTTTGTTCCAGCGAAGATAGGATTACTGCAAGAATAGGGATGAGGTTAGAAACAACAATGATGAATATGTGAAGCAAGTCTTACTCATTAATCCAGCCAAAGAAAAGGCTGCCGCCCTGACTAGATGGAAGAAAACCTATAACAAAGATATCAACAAAATCCAGGAAATGTCGAGAGATAGCTCTAAGAAAAGTTACGAGAAGGATAGGCCTAAGTCCAGTTACTCTCGAGACTTAATTCCAAAAATGCTATGAGACAAGTGTAAAAGATTTGTAAATAAAAAATATTAGGAAGTAGGATGGGAGCACCAAAAAATAAGGAAACAAGGTAAGAATGGGCGGGGGTAATATTAAAACACTTGGTGGTTTTGATACGGTGCAGCCTCAAAGTTTGAATGAACGATTACGTCACACTAACCTATACTTTGAAAGACACTTTTGAATTTCTAATAAGTTCAAAATTAAAAATTTGATAACGATATATATTGTGCTAATTTTGATATTAAGTCTTTTTAAACCAACATTCCTTCCGAAGAAACGATCTGGTTGTGTGCAGATTTAATTTTCAATGTGACTTCAGATGAGCTATGTATTCTAGCATTCTTATTTTTTGTAGTTAATGAGCCTTGCAACTAAAAAATTACTTTTTCTGTCCAATGGTAATATTCATGGTCAGATTAATGGTGTAGTTATGCTTTCTAGGTTGGCTGTTTTTAAAACTAATATTTGTCTTTGTTTTCATGGAAAACAATCATTGGATGATTTCCCACAGGCTTTCAAATCATTGTATTATCGGAGGTATGTAAATGATATATTCCCTATTTTCTAAGACCCAAATCATATTCTTCAGTTTGTAGAATAGTAAACAGCAACTAAATATCAAATTTAGTGTTGAACACCAGCAAGATCATAAAATTGCATTTCTGGATACGTTAGTGTGTAATTGTGATGGTAACTTTGAATGTGAAGTTTACAATAAGAAAACAGTTAATGGCCTATATTTTAATTTTTAAAAGTCTAAGCCCCAACTATACTTAAAGAGAATCTAGCGAATATTTTATCTCGTCGTACTTATACAAATTTCAAGTACCATGAATTTGCTTGCATAAAGAACTTTGCAACTCTATGCAAAATGGATTTCCTGTTTATCTAATTGATCGAATAAAAACGAAACTATGGTCGGCTTCCGGCATATGAAGCATCTAAATGTTCAGTTTATTTAACTTTTCCATAAATTGGAAAGTATTCTATGTATGTACAACTAAGCACAACTACGATGTATTTTTAAACCTGAGTTTCGTATGCACTGTTTCTTCAGATAAAAGATTATACTTATATTTAGAGAAAAACAAAAACCCAAGTAACAACTTTTCTTTCACTTTCACGATATCAAATACTGATTATTTTAATTTCAACCAATTTCTTGGGAAATTTTCAGCGTCGAAAAAAATCGATTATTAACATTCTAAGAGCTTCAAATAATTCCCTAAACTTGTTTTTTTGTTTTTTTTTTTGGAGGGGGGATGTAAAATGTATTTATAACTGAACTAATTGTCATTCTTATTCAGGGCATTCTTTCTACCTCACCATTTGAGTTGTTGTACCAAAACAAAACACAGTTACACGATATTGAGTTGCGGCCTCAATTTATGACTGAGTAAAATGAGTAAGCTCAATTTTATACGGAGGCTTTGTTCACCATTGGCTCTTGCCAAGATCTTAAAATAATTTGATTGGTCGACTATGACACACTCACCTAGGATGTGCTCCAATACACTCGTTCTATTTGACGTCCTTAGATGTAAATTTGCTCGCAAAAAAAGACACGTAAATTCATAAACTGTATTTGATGTTTTCACTGAAGATCTAAATAATTTTGATATCTACCCAATTTACACAGATACAATAAGATGTGTTGACATTTACTTAAACAGGTTCCACTATGGATCGTAGGTAAGTACTCACAATATTTCAAAATGTGTCATTTTTGTGTATAAAATAAGCATTTTCAAAATAATATTCCTATTATGTTTCTTAAAACACCTGAGAAGGTTGGTACTTACAGCATGTGAAAAACACACCAACAAGTAAGAATGGGTATAATTGATAATATATCAAATTCTTTTAATCTTTAATTCTACTTATTAATGACCGTATAACAGCATTTTTTTTTATCTAATTGGGCACTCAACGTTTCGCTTTATAGCTAGCTTCTTCAGAGGCGATCCACTGAAACACAAACCGTAGCTGACAGTCAAAGGTCCAATTGGTTTAAAACAGACATCTCATGTAAAGAAGAAAAAGATTGTGAATCAAGACTTGATAAGATATATAGAAATATATATATATAATGAACGTAGCAACAAATCATAGATTTTCATCATGAACGTTAAAAATGACCAAGAAAACATATTAACTATAAAATGATAATGATAATAACAGTAGAAAATGATTTCGCGATCTCAAATTCCTCTTTGAACTGCTAGCTAAAGGACCGAGTTTTGCAGTAACAACTAAACTCTGAAGATCAGATGTGTTTGAATACAATGTCTTCCTTTGAACAAGCGTTTTATTTTATTGAATGAAACCATTTCTGCGAAAATAAAGAAATGATTAAATCTTCTTTTGCTACGAACAACAGCGAAAATGTTTGTTTTCTCCATTACCTAAGCTTTAGTGCCGTTACTTTATTACTTAAATACACAAGACCTGCTATCTCGAATACAGAATGACTTTCACATAATGATGATGAATACAACAACATTTTCTTGCGTTAGATGTTGTAGCTCTTTATCCAATATGGCGTCAATGCAGTGTGTGCATTCATATCATATCACATAGAAAATACAGAAATCTACGGACTGGCAGTGGACAATGCGAGAGACGTCTTACATTTTATCTTTCATAATGGATATTTTTTTTTTTTACGATATACTATATCTCCGACTAAGTGGTGTCGAAATGGGCAATAGAGTAGCTGTTATTTATGCACGTTACTGAAAGAAGAGAACTTGACATTTAGCATCAAGATACGAACACTGGCCCCAATTTTTGGGCAATAGAGTAGCTGTTATTTATGCACGTTACTGAAACTAGAGAACTTGACATTTAGCATCAAGATACGAACACTGGCCCCAATTTTTGAGCAATAGAGTAGCTGTTATTTATGCACGTTACTGAAACTAGAGAACTTGACATTTAGCATCAAGATACGAACACTGGCCCCGATGTTTGACTTTGTTAGAGACATCAACGTCGCAATTGGACTCTATAACCATTGCCGTGATTCTTTAATCAAGTTTCTAGACACCAACATCCATTTTACCCTTAATCGTTCGAATTTCAGCAGGTGGATAGATGTTCTTCACGTTGCCTTGATGACCGATAGTGACAATAATATACAATTTAGCTTGTTTCATAAACCAATTAAAGACCCATTCTTCCTCTCTTCAGCTCGCATCATCCAAGAAACGTGTAATTATTGAAATGAAAGAGAATCAAGTACAAACACTCCTTCTGAACAGAAAATATCCATCTTTTCATCTGACCCATTCTTCCTCACTTCAGCTCGCATCATCCAAGAAACGTGTAATTATTGAAATGAAAGAGAATCGAGTACAAACACTCCTTCTGAACAGAAAATATCCATCTTTTCATCTGGAAAAATTTCAAGAATTACAATAAAATGAAAGCAAATTAACCCCATACCACCAACATAAAAAACACAGTTAAACCAAGAATAAATAAGACAATTTTCCAAAGATACCATACAGATATTTACTTTTACAGTACGTCTAAGTGGCTAAACTATCCACAAGAAAGTAGAAAATATATAACCAAGAAACATGTACTGCCGATTAAAGTTACAGAACGACCAGGGCAAACTCTCCAATTCTCACTACACTACCATACAGTGCAATAAACCCAACTGTTTTATGCAAACTTGTTTTCAACCTAAAATAGATGTCCAAAATTGTATACCAAGTTACATGTAACATCTGATATCATACATTGATGAAATCGGATAATCACTACACACAAGGATAATAGAGCACCTTGATTCTTTCAAACTTCCCTCAGTGGCTTTACGGTAAGCATGTGTACTTAGAACGATAAAACCCGGGTTTCGATAGCCGTGGTAGGTACATCACAGTTAGCCCATTACATGGTGCTTAAAAACAAACAAACAAATCAAATCTTTCAAATTATAGCATGAGACATAATTTTTTAACTAATCATGACCAAATAACTTTGGCCCGACATGACCATGTGGTTAGGTGCTTGACTCGCAATCTGAGGGTCGCTGGTTCGAATCCCCATCCCACAAAACATGCTTGTTCTTTCAGCGTGGGAGCGTTATAATGTGATGGTCAATCCCAATATTCATTGGTAATGGAGTAGCCCAAGAGTTGGCGGAGGGTAGTGATGACTAGCTGCCTTCCTTCTTGTCTTTCACTGCTAAATTAGGAACGGCTAGCGCAGATAGCCCTCGTGTAGCTTTGCGTGAAATTCAAAACAACCCAAACCAAATAACGTCTGGCATGAAATACACTGATAGAAAATTTAAAGAACAAAGTGTGATTGGAAAGCTGGTTCTGCGATAAGCTTGACGCTACAAATTAAGGCTAGATCCCTGCAGTAAACACAGCACGGGTAGCCATTATTAAACTTTAGGTTAACAACGACAAAGAAGTTGTAGCAAGTAAACTAGCTACAAAAAATTCTGGAAAGCTAAAATATACATACTAGCCTGTTCTATTTTACCGAGATTATATTTATGCCATTTTTATGTTGGTTCTATGTTTTCGAAAGTACGATCTAATTTATTACTGTTACTGTTTTTTTTTGTAGAAGTATTGCATTTCTATCTGTATGCTATTACCACATAACAAGAATAAACTAAATAGTATGTCTACTTGTTAGTTAATGAAAAATTATCATTTATCACGTACGGTTTGTGTTGACAGGACCCAGAGCACACATCAATTTAGATTCATCACCTATTGATGGCAACTTTGTGTATGGTTCTACTGAAGAGGTTGCACGTAAACTTCGTCTCGGTAAAGGAGGTGAGCTCTAAGAGTGGAATACACATATTTGTAAATAACCGTTTATCTTTGTAGCGTATGATAATAAGGGTTAGATTAGTGGAAATGTATGGGTAATTTTTTTTCTTCTATTGTCTTTTGTGACTTTCAAATTCTGTTGTTGTATTACCTTATTAAATATGTTTATCATTGTCGTGTCTTTCCTTATATGTCCATTCTCGTCTTCTTTTCCCTGTAAGTTTGCTATTGTTAGTCTTCTCTTAAATTATTCTCATTGTTTCTCTTGCTCCTATATGACCACTTTTCTGTCTTCACACAGAAAACATTTATTGTTAATGTTTTTTCTTTCTTGCACATTATCATTAGTATTATTCTTGCACATTCAAGTCTGCATTGTTTTTGCCCATAGATATACTAAAATTAGCATTTTCCTAAATATTCATTATTCTTTGGTTTATTAATTTTTGCCTTCTTGCCATATGTTTATTAATTTTTGCAGTCTTGCATATTTATTATTATATGCCTTCCTTTATATTTTCATTAATATTTTCCTTCCAGGTTAACTACTATTTGTATTATGTAAATTTTAATATTTCTATTATCTGCTATAAGCCATAATCCTATTCATACTACTTCGTATGTCTAGAATTCCATGTTCCCTCTTATCTAGTGAGTCATGCTTATTCTTACCTTAAGGTTTGATGCGAGTCTGGGATGTTTTCAGTGAGTATGGTTTAAAGCCATTACCTCCCCCTCTGTCAGAGAACCCGGAACGTGATTGTACGGCGAGACCACGCCACCTGTTTTGTTTTATTGCCGGTAAAGTATTTGATGTATTTAAATAGATATAGAGATTAGTAATGTAATATAATTATCTATAAGATGTTTCAATATCATGTTTATTTTCTTTGTTTTTACTTTCTTTTTGATTTATTGAGCAGCCAAAAATAATCTTTCGAGCAAGCGTCCCAATTTCAGGACTTGATTTTAATTCTCAGAAAAGTAAATAATTAAATGACAAGCTTAAAGCTTGAAAAAGAAATGTGCTATTTCGAAACGTTGCCATTGTGTAAAGGTACATTTTTTGCTGTCTCTTGAAACTTAATTAGTTTTATGTATGTGTGTGTGTGTGTATGTAAGTTACACAGGAAAAGGAATAAATGATATGATCTACATTTCAGGAAACTTAATCACTTCTTTTCTCTTGGTTTACTTTTCAAGTAAAATTTGTTGACTGCTTGTATTTTTGGAACAGAGCGCATTATTTCCTACTCAATACTCTTGTAAAAACAGTGTATAATGTAATGCTGAACATCTAGCGTTATATTAAAAGAACGTGTAATACTCTTGTGTACAACAGCCCACGTAAGACTGACTGTGTGGCATTCTTCTGTACATTAGCTCATGTAAGACTGACTGTGTGGCATTATTCTGTTAACTAGCTCATGTAAGACTGACTGTGTGGCATTATTCTGTTCACCACACAGTCAGTCTTACATGAGCTAATATTATTCTGTTAACTAGCTCATGTAAGACTGACTGTGTGGCATTCTTCTGTACATTAGCTCATGTAAGAATGTCCGACATTTTTATGCACATTAATTCTCTCCCTACGGGGTCGGCCGAGTTCGTAACCCCAAATTGACTTTTATGGTTTCCATACTATAACTTCTAATATGTTTTGCGTATTTTTCACGAAATTTCGCAGACTTTCAGTCACTTGTAGACAAAAAATCAGAATTGTTAAAGAAGTATTTTCACTAAACATTTCTCCATGAGTATATGAAGTCAAAGTGTTGACTGCTTCGATTGCAGTGATTTTCATGTTACAATAAAAAATACTTTTATTCATCTGAAAAATCTCAATTTTTATTTGCATAATCTCTGAAACCTCCTAAATAGATTTGAAACGTTTTTTTTTCAGTAAAATTTTATGTTTTATGTAATTTTCTCTGTCCTAACACTATAAAAGTTGGTCAATTTGATCGATCTTTTTACTACCAAAAGAAATTCGAAATAAATGTAAATTACCTTTTTTTTCTTTCTATTTTAAATAGCTTTAAACTCGTAACAGCATACATCTATTTATACTTAACTTTTGTTGTTATATTGCCTTTTGAACAGTGCCTAACTAATATTCTCGCCTCACAATTTGTAAATCACTTAGCGAATGTGTAGCTCGCGTTAATTACCCTATCGAATTACATAACGCGCAAGCTACTCGTCAATTGTTCGTGAGCGTACCTCGCGAAAAAAAAGTATAAATATTATTAGTTATCTTGTCTAATCTAACCTTCTCTAACCTAAAATTTTCTAATTTTTACATTTTAGTTACTTTTATAACAATAAATAAAGAATACACAGGAAAAACAAGACATAAGGTACTAATGGTACTACTGCAATAAATAATTATTTAACTAACGCAACTAAGAACGCCACAATTTTCCTGGCTTTCTAACTATGCGACAGGAGCTGTTAAAAATTCATCTAAGCTCGTCGACGTGTTCCCGTAGGAATAAAGTATGAAGTGGAAGCAAAACAGACAATTCTCTGTGCAAAAAACAATATAATATAGTTTATTATCTTGATAGACTAAACCCTTGGCTTTCTATTGGTTATAAACAATGTAGTATTAAACGTCAGAGAGAACTATTGGCAATTTCTGAAAGAGAGGATGTGACAGGTGGGCGTGGCAAGTGGGGTCTGATTTTCAATTTCATGGCTCTGTAACCAAATAAGGTTGACGGTTATAAAAATTATGTTTTGCCTGAGCGATTAAAATGTTATAATGAGTAATTTATGTTAAATTTCGTGCTTCTCGGAGAGGTGGCAAATAAATTAGAGATAACTAGAGAGCAATTGTCCCAATTCTCATACTAGGGGAAATTCGGATTTTTTTTTATATTACCTTATAAAATTAAAAATTTAAAACTTATACAGTATTACATTTATATGTATAGCACTCTTCTGTAAAATACACCATGTACGGTTGTATGGCATTCTTCTGTAAAATACACCATGAACAAATGTGTGGTATTCTTCTGTGCAATAGTTCATTTAAGGCTATGTGTCATTCTTCTATACAACATCCTGTGTAAGAATTTATCACATTCTTCTGTACAATAACTTATGTAAGTATTTTTGTCATTCTTCTGTACTATAGCCTATGTAACAATTTGTAACATTCTTTTGTACAATAGCTTATATAAGAATTTAAAAAAAAATTGTGCAATAGCCTATGTTCATGTTTTTCTTCTTGCAAGGCGACGAACGAATCAATGAACAGATACACCTAACAGTTATTCAAACACTCTACCTTCGCGACCATAACCGAAAGGCTATTGAACTTGGGCGACTAAATCCCCACTGGGACGATGAGCGTATCTACCACGAGACTCGGCATATTGCAGCTGCCAGTATCCAAAATATCATATACAAAGAGTTCCTTCCTATGGTTCTTGGCGAAGAAATGGTAAACAGGTACAACCTCACTCTACAATCAGAGGTGAGATCATTTCCTTTGTCACTGCTTGATAACAATACACGTATTTATCCTACCACTAAAAAAGTGACAATTGTTCATCAGTGAACTAGAAGAAAACACACTGTATTTTTTATTTGTATACATTTAAAGTGTCTCAGTGGCTTAGTGTTGAGGTTGATGTAGTATAAAGCTAACATTCTGCAGGTTTCGGCATTAACTTACCAACTAAATAAAAAAAATACATGTTGCTTTTGCTTTGTAATCAAAGGTGTGTTACGTTGATTTCACTGCTTGTCTTAAAGAAAATTAGCTCATTTTCCACTATATCTGTTAATGTGTCAAATTAGTCACCAAATTAAAACAAAACACTAAAGTAACTTGAACTGAAAACGGAAGATATTATTACTTCTTTGGAGATTAAAGTATTTAATCACTTCCTACAGCAAACGTTAAAACCATTTTTAATAACTTATTTATTCAAAAGTAAAGCTGAGATCAGTTTGTTTCCTACAGCAATCGTAATTTAATTAACAAATAAACGTAAGAGCTTAGCGTAATATATTTCAAATATAAAGTAATCAAACGATATGTTTCTGAAAACTATGTACGTAACATAAAAGTAATCAAACGATATGTTTCTCAAAACTATGTACGTAACATAGAAGTAATCAAACGATATGTTTCTCAAAACTATGTACGTAACATAGAAGTAATCAAACGATATGTTTCTCAAAACTATGTACGTAACATAGAAGTAATCAAACGATATGTTTCTCAAAACTATGTACGTAACATAGAAGTAATCAAACGATATGTTTCTCAAAACTATGTACGTAACATAGAATTATCGAAGTTGCTATATACGACCATAACGCGTAATTTAAGTGTATAAACTTTAAAATTATAAACTTAAAATATTTTCCACATTTGTATTTTAATAATAAATAGATATCTGAAGAACTACAATCATTTACTGTCAGGTGTGTTTTGTTACCATATTGGATTTAAAATAACATTATGCTTAATTAATAGGGCTGTTATATAATCAGCAAGTCTATCTCGTATGGTAGTGCCATATTGTATATATAGTTTATTTTAAAGACGTGGATATCATATCTTTAAGGCTTGCTACATAGCATTATAAAAACAGGAGTCTGAACATTTTATATGACAATACGTAACTATCAGGCTAATAGAATGTGCCAGTCCATAATATAAAACAATCTGTTTAGTGAACAGGGCCATTGGAATAGGTATGTTCATTTCGTATTATCGCGTGTTTTTATTGGTATTGTTATACCTATAATCATGATTTATTTCAAAAGACTAATGGAGTTTCTATATTTTATAAGAATATGTTTAATTAACAGGGCTGCTCAAATAGGCGTGTTTTTATAATAGTGCGTGTAATTAGCATGAAACGTATTATATGATAATCTGATTGCTCAGGCTAATGGAACAAGCATAAGACTGTATCTCTAAGTGTGTTTAGTTGCATGAGCAACCATAATAGGTAAATTTGTACTGTATTATGTAGTTTCTTTAAATGACAGTTTCTGGAATGAATATTTCCGTATCTTCTAATATTAGGAAAACTATTGGAATTAGAATATCCACACGTAGTGTATCGCGGTGAAGTTGAATTAACTTTAGAGCTACCGGATAGGTCTTCTAGAGTCTAGACAACAGGAAATTCGTTCAAGATATCGATTACGGAGTAACACTAAACCCCTTACTAACCGGGTCGATGTAAAATGAAACAATGGGATTGGACACAAAGTGTAATACAAAGTGAATAGTTTTTATTCAACACTAAACAAACACAATGTGTGTGTACTTGCTGTTACTTACACAGAGTGATCGCCTTTACTTGATCACAAGACTGACTAAATACAACGTTCCTTAGCTCCAAGAAACCTCACGTTTACACAGGGCGAAATGAGCTATCCATTTGACTGGTAATGACCAGATAGGTGGAGTTGTAGCTTGTAGTTATTACCTGAACAACTATTGAAGAAAAGTGCTCTCGACATCCTTGTAAAACGTGTTGTATTGAGTAATAACCTCCCCGGGCAATAACAGATATTATCCAATTCCCTAGCATGCATTTTGACCAGAGAAAACTCATTAAGTCATCCCTACTGAAATGAGCATGTCCGTATCTTCTAACAATATATTTAAAGGATAAAACTGTTGAGTGGACATGTCCATGCATCTTCAAACAATATGTTTAACTAATATAACAGTATGTTTAGTTCACAGGACTGCTGGAGTGGGTAGTAAACATAGCGTGTAATGTTATGTTTAATCGACATAGCCTAATGGAATGCACATAAGTGAATCATAGGATAATGTTTAATTGTTATAACTACTGGAATGTATATGTCTATATCTCATAGCATTTTTTCAATCTATAAAGCTGCTTGGATTAGTATAATAGCCATATTGAATATCATAATATTTAATAAATAGGGTTACTGGAATGGGTACGATCCTAACGTTCACATGGGAGTGGCAAACTCATTTCAAGCGGCCGCATTTAGGTTTGGCCACACTCACATTCAAGGAATGGTCAGACGATACAACAAATTTCACGAGTTTGTTGGTAAGATACTTCATGTTTTCTAATCAATGGTACTAATGTTGACATGCACATTCCTATAGAGTGCACAGTAAAAAAGATTTAAAAAGATTTAAGATACTAAATATCTTAGCTGAGTTTTGTAACTAATCAATAAGAGTGTCGTTTTATCACCACTTTCCATCCCTTCACATCCTCAAACACATATTTGTCTGAAGGAATTTGTTTTATGCCAAAAGGAAATCAGTAGATGAAAGTAATACTTTAGCATCTATAAGTGAAAGGATTACACAGTAATTGTTACTGCTAATAATGCTGTTGGTCATTATGACATAATATTTTGGTGTTCACTAGGAGAAATGGGACAGTAAAGCCCGTTACCCTTACAAATTTTATTTTAGTATTGATCTTAGGTAGATTAATTTTAATTATATTCTTGTGTTTAATATTTGTAACTTTGTAATTTAACTTTTACTGTTTGTGCAGGCATTTTGCCATTATAAGGCTGGAAAGCGAATACGTGTTTTGATTACCACCCTATTTGTCCTATCTTTCACAGCCCTCATTTATGTTTGCGATACGCAGCATTTTTAAAAAGCTTGTTGAAATTAATCACGTTGTTAATATGTATAATACATATACAAAATATAATGTCGTTACATCTTTTCATGTGACTGTTTGGTTGTACTTTAGGAGAAGACCCCCTTCGTACACTTCTAAGACGGCCCTTCATCGTCTATGAGCCTGGAAAGATAGACGAATTGATTGGTGGCCTCATCAATACCCCTGCACAAGTCTATGATCCTTTTATTACAATGGAGGTACGTAACCACGGTAATTTGATGTACTCAAACACTGATAACATTTATGGTAACATATGATAAACAAATGCTTATGATTTTAAAATTGAAATGCCAACAGCAACAGTTGCGTTGCCAGATATTCACATTTTAACATGTGAAATTATTGTAGAAAACATAATTTGTAAACATCTCTCAACAATATAAAAACACACTTGACAACGTTTTTAAAGGTATAAAATATATTGAAATAAATAAATTCTAAAAATTTCGGCTGGCTCCATCTTCTGGAAGAAGTACTACAGCCCACAGTTACATAGAAACTTAAGTGTTCCGGCCTGGTATTGGTCTAGTAGTTCGGGCGCTCGATACGTAATGTGCGAGTCGCGGTTTTGAATCCCGTCACCGAACATGCTCGCCCTTTCAGCCATGGGGCATTATATGCAACGATTAATCTCACTTTGCGTTGATAAAAAGTGGCCCAAAACTTGGCGGTGGGTAATGTTGACCAACTTTAGTGTATCACTTATAAATTAGGGACGGTTTGGTTTGTTTTGAATTTCGCACAAAGTTACACGAGAGCTATTTGCGCTATCCGGCCCTAACTTAGCAGCGATAGAATAGAGGGATGGCAGCTAGTCAACATTACCCACAGCCAATTCTTGGGCTGCTCTTTTACCAACGAATAGAGGGACTGATCGCAACATATAACGCTCCCACAGCTGAAAAAAGTGAGCATTTTCGGTGACGGAGATTCGAACCCGTGATCCGTAGATTGCGAGTCGAGCGCCCCAAATACGAGGCCATTAGGGACGGCTAGTGCAGATAACCCTCTAGTAGCTGTGCTCGAATTTCAACAAATAAACAGTCTCAGGCGTTCCCCTCATCATAAATTGAGAAGTACTTACCTCATTTTCGTTAAATCATCCTTAATCAAAACATTCTTTAAAATGTTAAAAATAAACAGGCAAATGTAACTGTTATTGCACAGAAGCTCGAAACTATCACTTTACCTTTTTTTTCAAAATTGGCTTTAAAAACAAAATTGTTTAAAAAATTTAATTGCAAAGTTGCTTATAAACCATTCAACAAAATTATTTATTGTTTAATGGTAAAAGTTTTATAATCTAAAAGAAAAAACAACAACAAAGTATTTACGAAATTCCATGTAACAAATTTAATAACGTCTATCTAGAACAAACTAAAAGATCTTTAGTTATAACAGTCAACGAATGTCAAAGATTTTGTAAACAAGGGAAGAGGGAAATGTCAGCGAGTACATTACATGCTCATAATACTATAGATTCAATTGGTCGTGATAAGTCTAAACTTATCACTGTACCCAAATTTATGAACGGCGTAACATTCATGAAGGTTTTATAATAGTTGAAATAGGCATGAACAAGAACAACGATCCGGCTTTAAAACAGGTTCAGAGATCTCAACCCTGGTTTTAGAACTAAGCTACTTGTTCTGTACATGTTCGTGACGCTTAAAGTGTCGCAACTACACAATTATGAATGTGTGATGAGATGAATATTTAAATATCGAAATTATCATTAACAGTAAGAGCTCCCAACTGATAAAACTGCGTTTTAATCACTATAAGTAATCTTGTGATATATATGGGTGGCCTGCTTTGATTAGAAGTTAACACTAATCTCTGTAACTGTGAATTAATGAAACGTTTTCCTGAAGATGGTTGAAGCTGTTTTTCACATCAATAACACATATTATTTCAACGTATAGATAAATTTGGTATTCCTCATTAAGTTAGTGGTAATAAGATCTGATCTTTAAGAATGTGATTTCAGGTCACGAATCATCTATTTGAAGAACCTCCCGAGCCGTTCGGACATGATCTTATTTCCTTCAACATTGCACGAGGTCGAGAAACTGGAGTACCAGGTTACAATGACTACAGAGAATGGTGTGGGCTGGGTAGGGCTAAGACGTTTGAAGACTTTGAACCTCTACTTAACAATAAGACAGCTCTAAGATATTCCCAACTTTACAAGTAAGTAGAAACTTGCTCTTATAAATGGAAGAGCTAAGTGTGTAAGGAGTCTCAGCTTTTGAAAAGTCAAACACACAATAAGCCTACATTTACATGCATACCATATACGTACAAATGAGTCTATGGTTATAAATAAATTTAAAATAAAGTGTATTACGCACCTTCAAACAAACAGGCTTTAGATACAGCCATATTTAGAATAATGAAAACCTTACAAACACAAGTCTTTAAATTCAAACAGTGTCAATTAATGACAAGAAAAATTAAAACCACGTTTAAAATAAAAGTATAAAACTTTCCAAGCACAGCATAATTTAGAATTATCTTTGAAATTTAAACGCATCTCACAAACGTAATTCTTTGCTACAACAGAATTTTGAAATAAAGTATAGCATACCTCACAATCCTAAGCCTTTAGGTACACATAAATGTCAAATGAAGTACAACCTGCTAAATGTTCAGCTAATAGATAATCCCAGAGATTTTTATAATGTGTGTATGTGTAATACTCAAACTGTGGTCAATAGGCATGCCTATATTTGCTAATGAGAAAACTGTATATTTACGAACAACTGGAATCTGATTTTGAAATAAAGTATTTATCAAATCTTACAACCGCAGAAACCTACAGGTTATAAACATCACAGGCTTTAAATACATTTGGAGTTATAATCTTAGTTGAGATCGACTGTTATATGACACCAGTTTCAATAAGTAGATGCACCCAGGCTTATATTACAGTATGGTTTTCTCCTTGGAAAACTTAATACCTTCTGTACCGTTATTTACGAGGAAAAATTCAGCTATTGGTTATACCCAGAGTATGAGTATTAAAGTGGGGAAAAATTATTGCTCGTCCAGTTTTTTCACACTTATCTTGGTTCCTGTAATTTTTTACCAGACTGTGCATTGTGGAAGTGTCAATACTAGTGTCAAATGGTTATTGTTTGATGTAAATTGACTCATGTTTCAGTCATCCAGACAAATATAAATCTTTATTAACAAACCAACTGTGACAAACGTATTACAGTAGATGATCAAATATTTGGCAAATACGAAAATATTATTTGAGCAGGAAAAACCTAGATTTAAAGATAACTTCTTTTATGTAATTGACAAAAAAGTAGGTACAGAGTCTATTGGCTTTAACCAGGATTTGAGGATTCGAAGTACTTGTCGGGATTGACAGTGTCTTTCACAAAAGGCAGACGTCCCACTACCTAGCCAGTGATACAACCTCATATCACCTGATCATCCAGATGCTTCACAGTCGCATTCAAACACGTTGGATGAAATACTTCTCCACATCAATGTCGTACAAAGTGCTTCCCATGAGACCTCTACAGTTTTAACTCTTATTCGTCTGAGAAGACCACTTTTCTCCACATTGCTTTAGTTCATTCAGTCCAATCAGCATGCTCTTAGGCTCAGTTGAACCTCATTCTGTTGATGAGGAGGGGTTTCTTTCTAGGTCTTCTTACTGGGAGACTGGCTAAACATAGACAAGACTAGATGGTGCGAGAAGTGACAATAGCCCCTGAAGTTTCTTGCTATGCTCTTTTGAGGTATGTGGACGACAGTCGACGATTCTACTGGCTCAAAACACGATCGTCAACTGCTGTGGAAGTTTTTTTTCCAACCCCTTCCCTTCCGCTACTCTACACAGCCAGTCTCTCTATATTCTTACACCCAGTCGACTGGTTAAATTTAATCCTTCTAGCAATCTCTCTTGTCGAAAGTCCCTCCTTGCTCAAAGAACAATATCTGCTTTTTTCCATGATGTTAACTCGCAACCTCCAGCCATTATTAGTCTCAAAGTG